AAGGTATGTTTTTATTGATTTCAGAGAGAGGAAGGGAGAGGGAGAGAGAGATGGAAACACTGATGAGAAACATGGATTGGCTGCCTCCTGCACATCCCCGACCAGGGATAGAGCCCTCAACTGGGCATGTGCCCTGACTGGGAATCCAACCTGTGACTTCCTGTTGCATGGGACAGTGCTCAACCAACTGAACCACACTGACCAGGCAAACCTATCATTTAGAATCAAAGGACATATAATCAAGCTTCCCAGACAAGAAAAAGCTAAAGGAGGTCATCACCCCCAAACCACTATTGCATGAAATGTTAAGAGTCTTTTTTAAGAAGAAGAAAGGGGGAAAAGGGATAAAAAATTTAAAAAATAAAATGTCAATAAATACAAATCTATCAGCAACTGAATCTAAAAATCAAAATAAACAATCAAGCAGAACAGAAGGAGACTCATAGATTCAGGGAACATTTTGAAGGGAGGGGGTTGAGGGGCTGGGTGAAAAAAGTGAAGGGATTAATAAGTACAAATTAGCTGTTACGGAATAGTCACGGGGATGTAAAGTACAGCAGAGGGAATACAGTCAATAAGATTATAATGACTATGTATGGTGTCAGATGAGTACAAGATTTCTTAGGATGACCACTTAGAAAATTATATAATGTCTAATCACCAGGGTGTGCACCTGAAACTAATATAATATTGTGTGTCAACTATAATTTAAAAATAAAAATGAGTTTGAAAAACAGACATATAGATCAATGGAACAGAACAGAGAGCCTAGAAAGAAAGCCACACTTTTATGGTCAATTCATATTTGACAGAGGAGGCAGGAGCATACGATGGGGTAAAGACAGTCTATTCAATAAATGATGTTGGGAAAATTGGACAGATATGTGCAAAAAAATGAAACTAGACCACCTTCTTATACCATATACAGGAATAAACTCAAAATGGATTGGAAGAATTAAATGTCAGACTCAAAACCATAAACATCTTAGAACACATAGGCAGTAAAGTCTTGAATATTTATCATAGCCGAATTTTTTCTAGTACATCTCCTCAGGCAAGGGAAACAAAAGAAAAAGTAAGCAAATGGGACTATGTCAAACCAGAGAGTTTTTGCAGAGCAAAGGAAACTGTGAACAAAATGACAAGGCAGCCCACTGAATGGGAGAACATATTCGCCAATGATACATCTGATAAGGGGTTAATATTCAAAATTTATAGAGAATTTATACAACACAACACCAAAAAACACACAAACAGTCCAATTTTAAAAACAGACAAAGCACCTGAATAGACACTTCTCCAAAGAGGGGATACAGAAGTCAGTAGACATATGAAGAGATGCTCAATGTCACTAATCGTCAGAGATGCAAATTTCAAACCACAATGAGATATCACTTCACATTTGTCAGAATGGCTATCACCGGATCCAGCAATATATTAAAAAGATCATACATCATGACCAAGTGGGATTTATTCCAGGGATGCAAGGCTGGTACAATATTCCCAAATCCATAAACGTGATACATCACATAAACAAAATGAATGACAAAAAAATCACATGATCGTATCAACAGATGCAGAAAAAAACATTTGATAAAATCTAACACCCATTAAAAAAACAATCTTTATTGATTTCAGAGAGAAGAAGGGAGAAGGAGAGAGAGACAGAAATATCAATAATGAGAGAGTCGTCATTGATCAGCTGCCTCCTGCACGCCCCTAACTGGGGATGGAGCCTGCATCCTGGGCATGTGCCCTGACAGGGAATCGAACCATGATCTCCTGGATCCTAGGTCCATGCTCAACTGCTGAGCCACAACCAGCCCAACACACATTTTTCATAAAAACTCTCAGCAAAGTGGAATAGAGGGAACATACCTCAACATAATAAAGGCCGTATATGACAGATCTACAGCCAACATCATACTCAATGGGCAAAAACTAAAACCATTTCCCTTAAGAACAGAAACAAGACAGGATGTCCACTCTCACCCTCTTATTCAACATAGTACTGGAAGCCCTTGCCACAGCCATCAGACAAGAAAAGAGCATAAAAGGCATCCAAATTGGAAAGGAGGAAGTAAAACTATCACTATTTGCAGACAACATGATATTGTACATAGAGAATCCTAAAAACTCCACCAAAAAGCTACTAGATTTAATAAATGAATTCAGCAAGGTAGCAGGAAACAAAATTAACACGCAGAAACCAATGGCATTTTTATACGCCAATGATACACTCTCAGAAAGAGAAACTGAAAAAAAAAAAACAATTTACCATTGCAACAGAAAAATAAGATACCTAGGAATAAACTTAACCAAAAATATAAAAAACCTGTACTCAGAAAACTATAGGACACTGAAAAAAGAAATAGAGGAAGATATAAACAAGTGGAAGAATATACCATGTTCACGGATAGGAAGAATTAATATCATAGAAATGTCCATACTGCACAGAGCAATCTACAGAGTCAATGCATCCCTATTGAAATACCAACAGCATATTTCACAGATCTAGAACAAATACTCCAAAAATTTACATGGAACCAAAACAGACTCCAAATAGTCATGGTAATCTTGTTAAAAAAGAACAAAGTTGGAGGGATCACAATACCAGATGTCAAGTTATACTACAAAGCCACTATAATCAAAACAGCCTGGTCCTGGCACAAGAACAGACATATAGGTCAGTGGAACAGAAAAGAGGACCCGGAAAGAGACCCAAGCCATTATGGTCAGTTAATATTTGACAAAGGAGGCAAGAACATATAATGGAGTAAAGACAGTCTCTTCGATAAGTGGTGTTGGGAAAATGGGACAAGTACATGCAAAAAAAATGAAACTAGACCACCAACTTACACCATACACAAAAATAAACTCAAAATGGATAAAAACCTTAAATGTAAAACGTGAAACCATAAAAATTCTAGAAGAAAATGTAGGCAGCAAAATCTTAGACATCTCTCTTAGCAATATGTTTGCCGACACATCTCCTAGAGCAAGAGAAACAAAGGAGAAAATGAACATATGGGACTGCATCAAAATAAAAAGCTTCTGGCCCGGCCGGGCGTGGCTCAGCGGTTTAGCATTGACCTAGGATCCAGGCAATCGGGGTTCCATTCCCGGTCAGGGCACATGCCCGGGTTGCGGTGCAGGAGGCAGCCGATCAATGACTCTCTCATCATTGATGTTTCTCTCTCTCTTCCTCTCCTTCCCTCTCTCTGAAATCAATAAGGATATATTAAAAAAATAAATAAATAAAAAGCTTCTGTACAGCAAAAGAAATCATCCTCAAAATACAGAGGAACTCCACAGTATGGGAGAACATATTTGCCAATGACACATCTGATAAGGGGTTAATTTCCAAAATATATAAGGACCTCATACAACTTAACAAAAGGAAGACAAACAATCCAGTTATAAAATGGGCAAAACACCTGAATAGACACTTCTCCAAGGTGGACATACAGATGGTCAAGAGACACATGAGAAAATGCTCAAAGTTGCTAATCATCAAAGATGTAAATTAAAACCACAATGAGGTGTCACTTCACCCCTGTCAGAATGGCTCCATCAACAAATCAACAAATGACACATAGTGGCGAGGGTGTGGGGAAGGGGAACCTGGTGCACTGCTGGTGGGAACGCAGACTGGGGCGGCCACTGTGGAAAACAATGTGGAAGGTCCTTAAAAAATTAAAAATGGAGCTGCCTTTTGACTCAGTGATCCCACTTCTAGGAGTATATCCTAAGAATCTCAAAACACCAATCAGAAAGAATATATGCACCGCCATGTTCATAGCAGCATAATTTATAAATAGCTAAGATCTGGAAACAGCTCAAGTGCCCATCAGGAGGTGAGTGGATAAAAAGCTGTGGGACATTCACACCATGGAATACTACGCAGCTGTAAAGAAGGAAGATCTTTTATCCTTTGGCACAGCATGGAGGGAACTAGAAAGTATTATGCTGAGTGAAATAAGCCAGGCAGAGAAAGACAAATACCACATGATCTCACTTATATGTGAAATATAATAAACAAAATAAACTGATGAACAAAATGGATCCAGAGACATAGAAGCATGGAGCAGACTGAGGGATCTCAGAAGGAAGGTGGGGAGGGGGGAGTGGATGGGGAGAGATTAATCAAAGAACTTATATGTTTATAAGCATAACCCACAAACATAGACATTGGTCTGGGGAAGACCTGGGGTGGGGGGAAGTGGGGTGGAGGGGATCAATGGGGTAAAAAGGGAACATGTGTAACATTTTCAACAATAAAGATACAAATAAATAAATACAGGTTTCTAGCTGAAAGTGATATGCTTCACTTTCACCAGAAAAAAAAAAAAAGAAATCCACAAACAAGTGTTGGTGAGCATATGGAGAAAAGGGACCCCTAGGGCACTGCTGGTGGGAATGCAGACTGGTGCAGCCACTGTGGAAAACAGTGTGGAGGGTCCTCGAAAGAGTAAAAATGGAGCTGCCTTATGTTCCACTTCTGGAATATATCTGAGGAAACCAGAAACACTAATTCGAAAGACTATATGCACCCCTATGTTCACTGCAGCATTATTTACAGTAGCCAAGCTTTGGAAGCAGCCCAAGTGCCCATCAGTAGGTGATGGATAAAAAAGCCATGGTACATTTACACCATGGAATACTACGCAGCTGTGAAAAAGAAGGAAATCTTACCCTTTGAGACAGCATGGAGGGACCTGGGGAGCACTATGCTAAGTGAAATAAGCCAGTCAGAGAAAGACAAGTGCCGAATGATTTCACCCATATGTGGAATTTAATGGGAAAACTGAACTACTGTGCAAAATAGAGACAGACTTATAGATAGAGAGCAGGCAGACAGCTCTGGTGGGGGTGGGGGTTTAGGGAGGTGGAGGGATTGAGCAAAAAAAGTAAAAGAGCGAGAGCTCGTGGATGTGGAGAACAGCGTGGTGATTGCAGGGCAAGGGAGATGGGTGGAGGTGGAAGAGAGCATAGCGGGGATGGGTGATACTGGAAAAGAAAGGGTGAGAGGAGGGAAAATGCAGGCCACAGGCTGGGGAGAAGTACTTGTGGAACACACACTTGATAAAGCACTAATATGCAGAGTATACAAAATAACTCTCACTGGCAACTCAATTACAAGAAGACATGCAGCCAGGTTTTTCCAAAGCTTGGCTACTGTAAATAATGCTGCAGTGAACATAGGGGTGCATATAGTCTTTCGAATTAGCGTTAAAACTTTTAAGTTTTTAAAAGTTTTTAAATATTTTAAAGCAACTATTTAAATAGATACTTTGCTGAAGAAGAGAGACAAAAAGTAAGTACATGAAAAGCTGCTCAACATTGACAGACACGGGGGAAATATAAGTACTCAACTGTGCCCCCACCACAAACAACACAGGGAGATGATTCTTCACACAGTAATTTTGACTGAAAGTACAAAGACGCAAAAATACATAGATATTCTACTTACATGAAGTTCAAAATAGATACAACTAATCTATAATATTTAGGGATGTGTAATATTTAGGAGATGGGATAGAGAAAAAGAGCAGGGGCCCGGTTACAAAGCGCCTGTATGCTGAGTTAAGGAGCTTGGCGTCTCCTGCTGGCTTTGAGAGGCCATTGAAGAATTTACAGCATGGGAACGAGAAATCCAATGAGAAAATGTAGGGATTGGGCCAAGTTAGTGGGAGAAAGCATGGAGAAAAGAAGAGATGCTAAGAGATTAAAAGTATTGAAGAGACAAAACACTCAGGCCCGGTGAATGGCTGGGTGAGTGAGGTCACGTGTTTCAACCTCGAGGTGACCACGAGGCTGCTCTGCAGGACCAGGTGCATGGCTGGTGCTGAAGCCACGCATGGGGGTGAGTGCTGCGGGAGGAGCAGTGCCTGGGAGGGAGGACATGACTGCAAGGGCGCCCAGCACCGAAGGGGCAAACCAACCTCCACCTGCACAGGCGTGTGTGTGTGCGTGTGCGTGCGTGTGTGCAGAGGAGACTCAGGATTCCTGGGTCAGAGAGATGGCCCACTTAGTACTCAGAGTACAACAGCCGGAGACTGCCGCAGGACGTGGCGACAAGGCTGTGCCCTGCGTGCCCCCGTGCCTGGCAAAGAACTCTGAGATGCTGAGATGCTGAGCTTTTCCCAGGGCGCCTGGCCATACCCCGCAACTTAAGCGAATCTCCAGGTGCCTCGAGGTTTATTACCCTGAAACGTAAGCAAATGTGTCTGGGGAGAGGAAGGGAAGGGCTTTATTTTACTACCTGGGATGTCTTGGGGGAAATAGGCCGCTAAGTCTCTCCAGAAGCACACGCTAGCTCTAGCTTTTCAGGAGTATCCAAACAGGTTCAGGCTCTGTAGGAATGCAAGAAATCCAGAGAAGTGTCTTCCAAAAGTTAAGCATGAAGGACCCCTTAGATATTACTATCTCTTGCACATGTTATGTGATGGGTTTGGAGGGATTAATCTTCACCCTCTTAAGTACCCCTTGACTTTGGATCTTATTGGGAAATAAAGCACAAGAATCGGAGAGCTTAAGATAAACTGGTATGGTTTTGATGAACTAGGGCCCCTGCTGGGTTCTGCCATGGAACTTACCTCCTCAGTCATACAGACCAGAGCAAGCGCTCCCGTCCTCGGGGGCAGGCAGCTCAGCCGGCAGCAGGGCCACTGGACAGGCCACTCAGGAGAGAAAAGAGCCTGCAGGGCTGAGACAGCAGGCTGGGTTCCTCTCGAAACTTGTGTGCAGTTGGTGGCTGTGGGGGTTTCTTGTTTCGTTTTGTTTGTTTAGTTTGCTTTTAATGGAACCAGATAATGAAAGAGTGTGCACTTCATTTTAAACCTGCTAAACCCTGATCAAGTACCTCTCACTGCACCTGTGATTCCACATGAAACCTGAACAGCAAAAATGGACATTAACTGTTCATACCAGCTACAGGCCTGGCAGAGACGACGGCCACCTCCACCAGAGCCTCCAAGGAAGAAGTGACCTCCAGCGGCCAAGGGCCAAGGACGGAGCCCTGGGGGGAAGCAGTCAGTGGCAGGTTCCCCTGTACCCACAGAGCCCATGAAGGGACGGGTCTGTGGTGAGCATCACTGCTCCTCCTAGGCCCCCGGGAAACATGCGACTGAGCTGTTTTACAGACACGGATCATAGGTGATAGAGCAGGGTTTGGACTCACTTGATTCAGGAGCCCTTGTTTTTAATGATTTACTAGACGGCCTTTCCCACACTATAGGACACACCGTCCTGGGGCGAGTCAGGGAGAAAGCAGCACAGGCACTTGGGGGAAATGTAGGCTCAGCTCAGCAGCGTAAAAGGAAGGTAGGGCCAAAGGAGCCAATGAGAGCACTGAGAGAGAAGGCAAGGAGAAAGGCAGGAGACAGGGCGCCCTCAGAGAATCAACGTTCGGGAAGACAGAGGGGCTCGGGAGGAGACTGGGCAGGTGCAGCCGCCCGAAGAGAAGGCCCCAAGGGGGCAAGGTCGCTAAGGGAAGGCTGTGGGAGGCTCCAGTAAGAAAAAAGCTCGGCAGAGGCCATCCCAGAAAAGGCCATCCTGGAAAGGGCAGTGGGTTGGGACCGGGACCAGCCAGGAGTGCACAGAGGAGTAAGTAGACTTTCTCAAGATACATGGCTTTGAATCCAGGGCCCAGGAGGAGCCAGGTGGCGTGGGGCTGGGGCAGGCTGGGTCCTCTGGTCCCGCGGAATGTAACACTTGCCAAAATACCTGAAAAATTCTAGTGCCAGTTCAAGTTACTTTCATCCGTAACAAGTTTGAGGTAGGACTATTACATTTTAGGTAGAAAATCTAGAGCAGAAAATGTCTCCTAGTGGGCCAGGTTATAATACCACAAGCAAAGGTTTAAAAGTATCAATTCTTTAAAATTATGTGGATATCTATAGAACTTCGCTATTGGAAACAGCCTCAGTTTCCATCAATAAGACTTGAAAATTGAGGTGCATTTCTACAGTTCGTCCCCTTCACCCCGGTCGGTTAGCCTCTATTTAGCTTGAATGCAGATTCTGGTTCTGCTGTTGGATGAACCGGGGCCAGGCCTCCTGTCCCGGCGAGGCGCGGGCCGGCGTGTCCTCGGGGACCGGCGCGGGCTCCCGGCGCCTGGCTGAGCCCTGCTCTGCGGAGTGAGGCGACGGTCCCCCCTTCGTTTCCAGAGGACAAGCTCGCTCCGTGCACGCGCTGCTCTAAGCGGCTCCCCACGCTCACTCCCTTAGTCCTGCCCGTCACCCCCGCGAGGTAAACGCCGCCTTTCTTCGTCTTCCAGGGAGGACCTGGGGCGCAGCGGAGACCGGGACGCGGCCGGGTGGCCGGCGGGAAAGCGCAGGAGGCGCT